AAAATTGCCTTCAGCTTCTACTTCACAGAGTTTCAACAAGTTAGACTATATTGACAGCCTGTGTTCGACAAAGGCCTCAAACAAACCACACAAATCAAACAATCAAACTTAAATTATAGGACTATAGGATTTACTGCCATCTTTTATATACAGTGAATGGTTTTGTCTCACTTCCACGATGTTGCCACACCTGCAGCTGACAATGTTGCTCTAAAGGAGTGACCTGTTCTGGTCTAAGTAGTGCATCAGAAAAGATAACTTCATACGTGTTCATACATATATGGTGATGTTATGGGAGATCAGACGCAGCACATTCCCCGGCACACTCCTCTTCCTCATTTTTCCCTAAAACGAGTAATTAAAGGACAGGTGTGAATTAATGGAATAGTTTAGTAGCAGCTCTGTTGGCTTGCTGCTGGTTTATATTTGCATAATAATTTAAGCGATTGTCTGACTGACTTGCACACTCAGTGCCATGTAGTTAAAGGAAGATTGTCTCTCTTTCTCTGTCTCAGTGCCACTTTACCAACCTCACTTCCTGATCAAACTGGAAAATAATGAAATTCGGGCTCATCTTAATAACAAATGCCGCCACTACTCAGGGTGTGATTAGAGGGTAATAAAGAGAGACTGCACCCCTGTGATAGGAACATCTTCATTAGATGCATAAACCTGTTGTTGGGTAAAGATTTGAGAAAATGGAGACGATTGCCAAAGTATTTAGCAAAAGAGAGTTTATCTGCCTAGCCTCCCCGGTTAAATCAGAGCAAATTGCCCACTTGCTCTGGATGATATATCCTCTTTTATGTCATGCTGCTGTGCCACTTAAGAGTGAGCTGTTCCATAGAATGGCTCAGGGAGATTTGACTTTCTCTCTCGTACCTGGTTACTCAAGCCTTTGGCTGTTTTCATTTTTTTTTTTTCCCAGAGAGAAAATGTTCCCATTGTATTTTTGTTTTCTGCATTTAGAACAGAAAAAAGATGCTTTGAAGGCTGATGCCCAGCTGGTGTGTGTATGTGTGTGTGTGTCTGCAGGCTCATACAGTATGTGAATGTAGGCGTTTTCTTTAATAGGTCTACAGAGATCTTCATCCTCAGTCAATAGCTGAGATCTATTGGTCCACGTTACCATGGGAACAGATCTGCAGCTAGTACTTTTTCTTACTGTGTGTCTGTTTGTGTCAGTCAGGGATTGAAAATAACATCTGAGTAAGTGCCAGGTTAGAGTCTGTTGCCTAATGATCGGCGTCTGATGACACACCAGCGGAGATGAAACGCTCCCCGTGCTGCACTGTTTCAAAATCAACTCAAACCTTCTGCTTCCAGCTGCTAAACATCCGGTTTTCTGGTCGTCTGAGTCACTGCATCCTGCTGCTGTTGTTTTCTTAGTGTTTAACATCATATGCGACTGAATCTCTTTCACTTCAGGATGCTTCGCAAACAGCAACGTGACAGCTGATGTCAGTTAGCCGTGTCTTTTAAACACAACACAGTTTCATGGACTGAAGGCAGCTTAAGAGATTGGGCTTCATTTGTTCGTTGTGGCATCATGATACATGTTCTAACCTTTTTCACGGGAGGGCTTGGTGAATTTTCATGGCTGTTCCTTTCAACTTTAGATGGATCCAAGCCAGCTCTTGTAAAGTGTAACATCTTCTTATGAACATTAAAATCACACACCTGCTTGATGTTCTGCAGATCTACCACATTCTGCAGAAACAGCTGTAGCTCTGTGATGTCCTGTGGTGCCTGGCACCAGATCCTTAGGTTTTAGTGAGTTGCAGGGTGGGGCCTAAGAAGGTCAGACACTCATTGTGTTGGGGATTGTCGTGCTGAGAGAGACAGCTGCCATCGGGGAGTGCTGTTGTTATAATATGGGTTGATTGGTCTGTAGCAGAGTTATAATTCATAGTATGTGTCAAAGTACCAGATGTGATCAGGATCAGAGGTTTCCCATCAGAATATTACATAGCAACAATAAAAAGATCAGTGTTATTAACTTTACATGTCAGGAGTTTTAATTTCGTTTTGCTCGCTCAGATACAAATATTCAGAAAACCAAAAGCTGCTTGGTCATTTCGGATCTTTAGTAAAACGCCGTGTCTTGGTGACTTGGGCATTAGATGGCATGCTTATATTTTTTGGTCTATAAATAGCTGAATCAGATAAAGTCCGGGAATCTAATAACCAGGAGCCGGAC